GCAAGGATTCGGCTCCTTCTCGCCCCAAACGGGAAGGAATAGGAAGGAGGCCGCTCGAAAGGGCAGCGCCCCCAGACCTCTTCTACGCGGCTGGCGCCTCCCTCCCTATCGGGACCCTCCAGGATGGGCTCCAAGTTCCCAAGCTGCTTCCCACGCGCGAGACGTGGACGGTCGCAGCGGACCAGCAAGGCGGGCCAGCGAGAGCCCCCGGAAGGTAAGGTGGCGGGCGATACCCTCCCTCGCGCTGGCCAAGCAGAGGCGGAGGCCCAGGCTTCACTTCTCCTCTCCCCCGTAGCAGACGCTCCGGACGGCCCCGAAGTCGCGGCAGGCCGAGCACGGTCCACCCCCTCCACCAGCAGCGAGGGCGACCCGCAGAGCGGCCGGGCGTACTTCAGCGGCAAAGCCCGCGTCTCCTTCCGCCACCAGCTCGATTCGGAGAGGGACTCCACCAGCTGATCCTCCCAGGCCGGCTGGCAGGGATGCTCCGCCGAAGCCCCAGGAATAAAATGCACCACCCCAATTGCCTCTTTTTCTGTACTGCGATCCAGCAACCTGAGGGCAGAAGCCTCTTCTGTCAGCCCAGGGAGTGGGAGGCAACAGCAGAAGGGCCAGTGAGGCTGCAGCATACTCAGGCCCCAAACCTCCAGCCCTCAGCAAATGCCAGGCCGGAGCCCCCTCCCCATACCACAGCGCAGGGGGCTTTGGGGCTGGGGTGGGGGGAGAGAAACAGTCAACAGTTGCTACTTGCAGGAGGAACCACCAAGAAAAAGGCTGCCTGGAGCAAAGCCAGCACCCCACCCCTCCTGCCGGAGCAGCGGAAAACACACAGCCTTTCCAAATGCAACTGTTGGGCCTCTCCTCCCACCCCAACCCCCTAAGCCTCTGCAAGAACAGGGTGGAGCTGCATGAACCCCAAGGGTGTGTGACCCCCTTATCTCAGCCACAGCCTCAAAGTAATCACAGCTGGGAAACAATCAGAGAGACCGCAAGGAGGAGCAGACAGAGCCAGCCTGAGCCCGCTAGGCGGGGAGAGGAGAGGAGGGGAGGGGAGGGGAGGGGAGGGGGGAACAGGAGGAAAGGGCCAACACCCTCTGCTGGCTGTCCAGGGAGGCAAGAAGGGAAGGAAGGGCAGGCGAGCAGTGTTCACTCAACACCTGCCCCACTCAACCTCAACTTGGCACAGTATCTCAGACTAGAACAACAGAGCCTGGGTTAGAAGACCACCTTAAAATAGGGCTGGCTGCTGGTGGTTTAGGGCATTGTGTGAAAACAGCTACTTTCTTGGTGTTCTGCCATGGAGAATGAAGACTCTTCCCTGCAAAGTCCTCACTGCTAGAACTTCGTAGCCATTCCTGCCGTGGCAGAATGGGAAACGGAAGCTGAAATCTCCCTCTCCTCTCCTCTCCTCCCCCACCCCCACCATGAGGACCCAGAGGAGGCAGCAACCACACGCTCCGGGGATTCTATGCCTTTAATACCCATCAAGCACGGACAAAGACAAAATAAATTCCCATCCCCCAACATGTGCAGGCAGTTCCTGGGGTCGGCAACACCACCTCCCGCTCCCCCATCTCAGACGGAGGAAAACCGGGGTAGATCATTGCCAAGAATGACCTTCCGCTCCACCCCATCCTTTGTGATGGCAGCCAGGCGGATCACGCCCCCGCTCGAGCCGTCGCGATCCATTGCCAGGGAGAGCGCTGCAAGGAGAGAAGGCAGGCAGGAGCAAAGTAAAGTCATCCCTGCCCCAGAAACCAGGGCCCCACTTCGGCCCCGGGGCCAGGGGCTCCTTACCATTGGCTGTGAAAGTCAGGCACTCCTCCTTACTCATCCCAGGCTTGTAAGAAACATCCACAAAACCGTATATGTAGGAGCTGCCGGAGCCCCCAATGGAGAAGGGCTGGCGAACCATCATCCCCCCCATGGGGACAGAATACACCTGGAAGGGGCAGGGCGGGGAGGGGATTGCTAAAGATCTCAGAAAATTCTTTCCATGGG